GTAATCTAGAAGACGGCGATGATTCTTACACTATCACACACCCACTAGATGACTACATATACCACCCTTCACAATTATCGCCACAATGTCTTTTTGAATTTCTCATGTGGTTTTCCCGTGTTCACAAGACACACAAAGCGTCTCCTGACAGAAACTTTCTCACCAACCACCCTTTGTCGAAAAACAAGTGTTTACGATGTCATATTATAACTCGCATCCCAGTGATTCCACTTTCTTCTCGTATTCCTGATTTTCGTGAAGCTCTTACACCACCTGCACAAAAGTTGCACGCTCAATTGTCACTCTTGCTTTTCAAACCCTTTAGGGTCTTGTCTGACCTTCTTCCTGCAGAGCAAAATTGGCATACTGCTTTTTTAAACTTCTATGAACATATATATTCATTCTTTTGTACAATATACCTCCAAATGCAAGACTTTTACGTTGCCCGTGCACGAGCAAGGGAAACGCAACACAACCACCCACCATACACTGCCCCAAATATATCAACACCACCTGCATCCGATTCTAACCATGAAGATGACGACAACACTGATCCGCCTGAATTTTGCTTTTCCCATACACACGTTTCATCCTTTCTAGATAACCAAGATCTCCCATTGTCGGAATGTGCATTCTGTACAAAATTGCAAAACGACTCGCGAAGCATTCTTGTACGCCCACAAAAAACAATAACGAATCCAACATTCAAAAAAAACTTCCTGGGTCGCAATGCACAAGCTTTAACCACAACGTATATCACTGTCGTCAATACGACCTCGCCTATTCAAAATGTTGTTCGACAACAACTCATATCTAACACTAGGAAACTGGCTGAAAAATGCAAAACACGAACATCTTTCCTTCCATGATGGTGATTCAGACCACATCGGCTTTGGTATGTTTCCTGAACTGACCCGTTTACAATTAATCAATAATGTACTTGAAATGCATAATAGAAGATTCCCAAGCCCGACCACAATTGCAGAAAAAAAAAACAATTTTTTCCCTACAATTTCTGAACTGCTTAAACTTTTTCATCTAAAACGTCGCCATCATATCGCATTCGCGTTAGCTGCTGAAGCTCTTCTCAAGACATGACAAAACCAGGTAATTTTGATGAATCATTTGAAGGACCGACTCTTCAAACAATCCACAAACGTTTTATCAATCAACAAATATTAATGTTTCTGACGGGTAAAGGAGACACAGGAAAGTCACATGTCATAGATGTAATTGAGGTCCTTTACATCAGTTGGAAACGACCAAACGCCCTTACAAAAACGGCAATGACAAGAAAAGCGGCAGTCGGAATTGTCGGCGTAACATTTCATAGTTGGATTGAAATGTATAATCTAGAATCGGAAAATGGTTTTGACGATCGAGCGGCCGCTCTAAAAGGTCTTCCACGTTTTACATCAGAGTTTGCTTTACTTGTCGTAAATGAGGTCAGTATGATGAGTAAATTGCAATTAGTAAGGCTTGATTTGGGTCTTCGTGTTGCCCGTAAGATTGACCTCCCCTTTGGTGGCATTCATGTCATTCTATCCGGTGACCTCTTCCAAATGCTTTCTATCTCAGCGGTTCCTATTTACCCGAATGTCATGCTCTAAATTAGCAAATACAATTTGGGATAATGAAGGTTTTCGGCTTTGGCGTTTATTTACCACGGTCGTTGTTCTAGATGAATGCACACGTTTCAATTCAGATCCAGAATGAGGTATTGGTTGTTCTCATGCACACAAAGGTAATTAGACCCCTGATTTTGTTCGGATTGTCAATAGTCGGGTTCTCTCTACAAATCCTTTCCCCCTACCAAAAATCTTTTCCAATGAAGCTTCACCATTATTGTCTTCACTACATTTGAAACCCTCATGTACAACGGTTTATACAACCCCTGATAATCAAACGTGAATGCACCTCATTCATACTTACACTAAAATTTGTCTGAAAATTTACCTTCCTTGCATTACCCTATTCGAGTGTTTGCCCAGTTCGGTGACGCTTTGCAAAACAAAACAAAAGACGATATTCGGTGAATTATGTCACTACCTGACAATCTGTTCGGAAAATATGCACCATTTTTTGATCTCCTACCCACAATGTCGCTAGTATTCATCCAGAACATTGATCCTAAACATGGTGTCGCCAATTGCACTTTTGGAGTTTTGCATTCCTTATAATTCTCTGCAACAATACAATTTCCTAGGGTCCATGACGACGTCGGAGGGTTTGACGTTCTGTTTCATAACCACCCTCTTGACCTTACTCTCGTCTCATTGCCCGACCAAAAAACACCTCTTTCATTTCCATTTCCACACTCTATTCCACCATGCACGAAAGTTTATCCAGTTCTCATGGAATGAGCAAAACGACCAGTGCATGTCAAACTTTAACCTACACATGATAATCCACAAAGAACATGTACGTTATGTTCCTTTCATTTTTGCAATTGTTGCAACAAATTACAAAATCCAAGGTGAAACACTTGCTTCACTGATAGTTGTAGATTGGAGAGCACATCCCACAATGACCAAATCCCGGATTGACGTTCCACAGCAAGCATACATCACTGTCTCTAGAGTTATTAACCGCAATGCTTTTGTTACATTTACCCCTCTCACTCCTCAGTTAACTGCATTTTTCAAACCGCCTCATGATATCCTCAATGAAGATCAAAGACTTACTAGCCTTTCAAATTCGTTGTTACATTTTTTCCAAATCCTTGCAATGTTCCCTGATGCTTTGTCACCGGATCCTCTTATTTTAACATCCTTGTCTTTTTCTTCTTCTCTTTTTTCTTTATCGTCGGATGATAACGTTCCGTTATCAACACAACAAAACGGCTCACCCCCTGACCATTGCTCAATAGAACCTACAAAGCCTTCAATTTTTTTTAGCTTTCTCCCCTCTCCACAAAAACCGCCTACGCCATTTCATCATCATCAAAATGAAAAGCCAAAACCAAAATATAAAGATGACATACTAAAATTGCAGCTTCTAAAACTTTCTTCAAACCAATCCTTTGAAAAACCTGCAAAACCATATGATTATTTAGGTTTTTCCTCGTCTCCTTCGCAGCTTCCTATAGAAACTACATGTTCAATTTCTTATATAGATCAAATCGCTTCGGATGATGATGACCCCATACTCCCTATTAGGCTATTCCCATGGACTCCGAACTTTGTCTTTATATAACCTTACATGGTCACACTTGGTTGTCACAATTTCCTATTGACGATTACGTTGACCTTCTGATGTTTAACATTCCTTCCATTGTTGTCATCAACTGCTTTGCATACAACCACGACATAGCAGCCAGGGATTACCAATATGTAGCCCGACAACTTCGTCGCCACCTCCACGAACGGCCGCTTACAACATTGACTCATTGTTTATTTCCGTCCACGTTCACAGTAACCATTGGGCATTGGGATTCTTAAATTTTGTTTCCTGTAATGTTTTCTACTATGACGACTTTTTTTCTCATGACAATCGTTTTTTTTTCTGCACTCCGCCATTGGCTCGTCGAACAAAAGGATGTTCTTCGTACACCTGTAAAAGCACCTTCCACGATTCTCAAAGGTCCTATTCAAACCAACGGGTTCGACTGCGGCGTTTTTATGCTTATCATGATTCGTCAGCTATTGCTTATCAATTCTCTCACTCACATATCTGAATTCTCACAAGCAGATGTTCCATATTATAGAAATACAATTCCCAATGAATTGGTCACCCGCCATCTACAACCAATTCTGCCTCACCCGTCTCTTTCTTTTCTCATTCCTCCTATCCTACTTTGCCAATGCCCCACGCTTCTACTTCCCGATCCTTGAAGCTTTTCTAATCATGTTCTTTGCAGTTCAGCCACAAGTGTTAGTGTTTCTGGTGGCATCGGCTGTCTTCTTCATTCAGTCAAGC